TCACCGGCTCAGGGTTGACTCAGCCTTCCATCCTTCCGAGGTGGGTAAAATGAGGACCCGGATTGTTGTTGGGGGCAATATGCTGACTCTGTAAACCGCTTAGAGAGGGCTGAAAGCCCTATGAAGCAGTATAGAAGTCTAACTGCTATTGCTATTGCTATAACAAAAACTGGCCAAAAAAAGCCTCGGAAATGGGCAGAAAAAAGGCTGGAGAAGGGCCGAAAATGGGAGGCCAAAAACTTTTTGTTGTTGTTTTCCTCTTCTAAATGTCGGTGCGTCTTATAACCTGAAAAATATGGTACATTGTCTAAACTCAACTAAAGGGTGGGAGAGCATTGGCGCTCAAGTTAAGTCTTAGATCTTCCTCGGAGAATCCGCGGAGAAAACGAGTCATTCACACAATGTGTTTAACCTTGTTATGGATGGCTGGAACCGACTCGCTTAAGAACTATCTTGGGCGCTGCGGGTGTAGAAGGCACACACAACCCCTTTCACATTCAGATAGTCCTCGACTTAACAGCAGTTCATTTAGTGACTATTCGAAGTCACAACAGCATTTTAAAAAAGCGGGACTTAGGCCCCGTTTTTCACACTTACGACGGTTGCAGCCTCCCCATGGTCACATGCTTGTATTTATGACGATCGCACTGTCCCGGGGTGGGGGGTCACCTGCTCCCCCTTTGAGACCTCCTCCCAAGCAAAGTCATTAGGGAAACCAGATCCACTTAATGACCGTGTGACTCGTTTAAAAATTGCTGCGATTCGCTTTGCAACTGTGGCCAAAAAAAGGTTATAAAGTGGGACAAAACTCAATAGCTGTCTCACTTAGCAGCCTAAATTTTGAGCGCCATTGTAAATCAAGGACTAGCCGTATTATCATGTTAAAGCCGGGGTATCTTTGAGGGACGCGGTGACTCAGGGGCTAAGACGCTTAGCTTGTCGATCAGAAAGGTCAGCAGTTCGGTGGTTCGAATCCCTAGCGCCGCGTAACCGAGTGAGTTACTTGTCCCAGCTTCTGCCATTACTTGCCCCAGTTCGAAAGCGCATAAAAAATGCAAGTAGAAAAATAAGGATCACCTTTGGTGGGAAGGAAATAGTGTTCCCTGCACCTTCGGCCTTGAGTCATGCCGGCCAAATGACCACGGAGACGTCTTTGAACAGCGCTGGCTCTTCAGCTTTGAAACAGAGATGAGCATTGCTCCCTAGAGTCGGGAACAACTAGCACATATGTGAAAAGGGGGAACCTTTACCTTTATCTCTGGCAAATTCGAACGTCGTCAAGCCTCTCAGGGAGGGTGGAAAATTGGGGAGGGGAGACAGGTAGGACCCCAGGAGGACACCAAGCATTAACCCATTTTCTTCTCCTGCAGTGGCTCCAAAGGGCCCCAAAATTTTGATGACCCCAACAAGAGCCCGCGTTGGAGACACGGTCCGTATCCTGGTCCAAGGGTTTCAGGTGTGTATGACGCTCATCTTCCCCCACCCCACCCGTCCCGCTCCCCAAAATCCAGTCCCTTGTCCCAGCTCAAAAGACCTCCTTGGTTTTTTATCAACTGTTTAGATGTTTGTCTTCTAGATCACTTCTGGGAATAATTTAATATGGGTTCTTATAAAAAGCGACAAAGACAGACAATTGTGTACCGAAGAAGATCAGCCAACTGTGAAAGAAACACCCGCATTAATTTGCTTGCTGTGACTAACTGGTCTTGGATGTGTGTGTGTCATGGCAGCTAAGAGAAAAATTGATAGTCCTGGAAGGTTGCTTTTTTATCCTGCCAGGTGTGTGAGAGAGAAAACTAACACACTGGGAGCTGCTGGAAAGAGGGTGGGAAGGTGTGTGTGTGTGTGTGTGTGCGTGTGTAGTGCTTCACACATGGAGGGATGTGGCTCATCCCCTGGGGATTTGCTGTGCTGCTCCCAAGCATCTGGTGTAACGTTGGGGTGAGCTTTGGATGAATGGGTGCTCTTGTTGATGGTCTTCACCCACACCTTGTAGGGACATGTTCCAAGGCAAAGGGGCTAGTTCTCCATCAGCGCAGTGCACAACTCACATTCAGGCAACAACCGTGACAACCTAGCGAAGGGGAAAGCAATCTATTCTCACACCTGCCCCCGGAGTGAGTCTCCAGAGAGGGGAGAACTCAGCAGAAGCAGGGGTCAGCAACCAGTGGCTCTGGAGCCACACGTGGCTCATCCCTCTGCTGCGGCTCCTTGCCGGAGGCTCTGGAGGCAGCACATAACTCCCAGATGGCCCTGGCCCCCTCTCTGCCTCTGACACAGAGCCCTCATCCGAGCCTTCCCCAGACTCCAGGACTGGCCCATCTTCCTCCCCAACCTCCTCACTGTCTGAGTCTGCTGCCAGCTCCGCAGGGACCACAATACCCGTTTCTGCCCCAGTGCTCTTGGTTGATCTGATTGTTTGGGGTTGCGGGGTGGGGGGATCCTTGGTTCCAGAACGAAGTCTTCCCCGAGCCCATGTTCACTTGGACCCGTGTCGGGAGCCGGCTCCTGGACGGCAGCGCCGAACACGACGGGAAGGAGCTGGTGTTGGAACGCGTGCCGGCCGAACTGAACGGCTCGATGTACCGCTGCACGGCGCAGAACCCGTTGGGCTCCACCGATACCCACACCAGGCTGATAGTGTTCGGTAGGGGGGAGCCCCCATTCCTCCATTGACGACTCATCTCGGCTCATCTCCCTACCTCCTAACTCGTTGTTGACATCTCAACCATCCCATTCCTACCTTCTCATAGTCTCTTGATGTCTTTCCAGCTGCATGCTCCCTGCCAGAGAGGGACACCCCTCCCTTGGGGGTGGGAAGACTGCAAGGTTGACTTTATGGGGGGGGGGACGACCCCGCTGATCCATGTCATCCTTCCTGCTCTCCGTTCCCTCCTCCTCTCCTTCGTCAACCTCTAACCATCCCCATTGCAACTTCCATGCCTCCTCCTGGCACCAGCATCCATTCTTACCCATTCATTCCACCTCATCCTCGCATGTGTTTTTCCAATGCTCAATGACTGCCTTGTTGTTTTCTCCCCACCCCGCCCCCCTTTCTAATTAGAAAACCCCAATATTCCAAGAGGGACAGAAGACTCCAACGGTAAGCCCCCACCCCACCCCTCCCTCATCTAACCCAGCCTCCTTGTAAGACGCGCTTGCCTTGTCCATCTACGGCTGCTTCCTGGACGTTTAGCAAGATTTCCTTCCTGTTCTGCCCCAGTTTTCTTCCCTAAACCCTCTAGAGCAGGGGTCACCAACCTTTCGGGCCTCAGGGACCACTAAATTCATAATTTTAAATCCCGTGGACCACTAATATGATCTGCCTAATAACCGGATGGGTGGGCGTGGCTAGGTGGTCACGTGACTGGGTGGGTGTGGCCAACTCGATGTCACTCACATCGAGGGGCGCCTCACCATCCTCTACTCGCCTCTCCCCTCCCAGCCACTCCTCGCCTGCCTGCCTGGGCTCCTTAGAGCCCCAACAGGTAGCAGTTGCTGGAGCTAAGCAGCCGCCAAGAGAAAGAGTTGGCAAAACAGCTCAGTTC